AGGACTTCAGAGAAATACCCCTGTCAGTGTTGTTCTGCAAAATAAAAAGCTGTGAAAGGGTAAAAAGTTTTTATAGGAGAGACAGACAGAAAAAAGTTTGGAGCAGGAGTATAAAGTCAGGGGTCAGAGGCTATAATGGCAAGACCCCACCAACCTAATACAGACATCTTTTTGGAAGATTTCAGGTAGAGTCCAGCTCATACTAGAATCAATGGCAACCCTAAAAGATAGTTATCTGAATCCAAACTCTCTTTGACAAAGGACTCTTCCAACAAGGCAATCATTGTCTTTACTTTAACTTGATTTAACACATCTTCATTTATACTTATACCAAAGGCTGTATATGTTAATGGTCTGGTGAATAAACGTAATTCACTTATCTAAAAAAAAGGTTTAAATAATGTGCTTTGTGTTATAGAAATAACGAACCAAGAAGGTTACAGTGTGGTATATGTGGGCAAACAAGGTGTATGTTACAGGATTCTCTTGTGGATCCTTATCAGTAGGATGTGGATCATGCATTCTCATGATGGAGGGCAAATTTTGTTATCACTGCCACATTATGTTCTTTATTTTCATCTCTTCATTTCCTCCCAATGCAAATCATGTATACATATGGGAGAAAAAAAAGGGCTGTACTCAAGGACACCACTGCTATGGGAATCTGTTTCCTGCCTTTGATGGCATCAATCATTAAGAACAGATCCTGCTCCTGTCCCCATAGTGGTGTTCTATATTTTGTTTCTTGGTTGTGTTTCTGGTCATGCTCCTCTGTCGTATTTAAAAATATCAAATAAATATGTTAGACTGAATCTTGGCTACCTATGGGTATCTATAAATATTCAATTTATATTTTCCAAGCATCATAGGTAGAGATACTATATATAATGTTTGTATTGGCATTATGATATTCGTAGAAATCACTGGGTTCAACTGATGCACCCCTTTCTTCATTCAAAGAGGGGTGCATCCTAAATGCATTCTCTTGCAAATTTGTAGTAGATTTCATTTGTGGTAGTCCAATCTGGGAGCAAAATTTTTCTGAAATATAAGGGTGGATGGGGAAATAAACTAACAGAACCAACTGGTCTGAGTTGAAGCAGTCTAAGGCTAAACCAAATATTTTATTGCAGGACATTTTTTAATTGAAATTTGAGGAGAGGCTTGTGTCAAAACCACCCCTGCAACTCACCTTTTCTTTGCCCTTGCTATAATTTCACAGCAGCTGTACTTTTCCTCCTGGCAAGGTCACTGCATGTCTGTGATACTGTGTCACTGTTCCAAAGAAATATATGAAGCATACAAGTGGCATCTTTCCACTGCCTCAGGAAGTTCAATTGCTAGTGGGAATGCCTTAACATTTTGTCCCTCACCCTTCTGCCCTAAATTGCATGACGGCATTAGTGGTTTGGGAGATTTGGCCCTATAAAGTTACTTTCTTAGTTCAGATATAGTAGTTAAAGGGAAAATTTCCACAACCATAACAGGTTTTTGGGGGAACATACCTATTTTTCCCACCACCAATGCTGCATCAGAATAAATGGGGAGATGCTAAGATTTTATGTGGGGAGATAAAAGCTCTCTTATGAATTCACTGGGCTACGGTTAAGAAAACAGTTTTAAAATCAAATAATATTCTTCATTGTGGGCTTTGATTTTCCTTTAAATTATTCTGCTTTATATATGACCTCAATTTAATTATGGACAGTAATGGGTGGGCTACCAAGCTCCATTGATTTGTTAATCATAAGATCATTTTCATTATTTGATACACTGTCTTAATTCTTTCTTGGATTAAAATACCATTGCTGCTGTCTAAAACTCAGTGTCTGGGTTCTCACAAGTTAAATGCCTTGAGAATGTTAACCATGCAATATGATTAAAATTCTTCTGAGCCTGACAGGCAGGCACAGCAAGGGCTGTGTGCCTCTTCCTCCCGCCTCTCTTGTCCTCATAGCCCACCTCAGCCCACAGGCCGTTTCCCAAGGGCACTGCAGAAGCAACAAGGTGTCACCTGAGCTGCAACAAGCCATGTAGCGCTCACCACAACTTGATGTTTCTGTGTTATCTGCGCTTAGAAGAGTGAAGGCAGCCCAGGGCCACGTGAACACTCCACAAATAACTCCGAGCTTCCTGCTATCCCAAACGTTAAAAAACACTTAGCTGTGGGCTATAAACTTGTACTTTGGAACGTACACTGTATCCTTGCAGACAAGTGTCCAGTTTTGCAAAGTTACAAAATTGCACATTTGTAGGTCACTACAGACTTTTTAAAGAATGTTTTTAAAAAGTAGGTGGGATCAGCTATTCTTACTTTTGGGGATGCTCCTTCTATTCTCCTCCCTTTTGGACAGATCCTCAGGGGTTTTGGGTGGTGTTACAAAACTCCACATGTCCCTTTGGCTTTACAATTTACCTGAGTTAGATAGCAACTCAGGAAATGCCAAAACCAGGGGAAACCTGAGTAGTGGGGGTGCAAGTCTTGTGATTTAAAGGGACACACCTGCCCCTTCACATGGGGGTTTTCCCAAATTTTGAAGTGCCCCCAACCACTAGCATCAGGGGTACTGTCAACACGTGTGGGGAGTGGTACCTGGAGCAGCAGACCTCTCCCAAAAATAAATGGAGGACCACACTGCAAAAAGGGGAAAAAACTCCTTTCCACAAAGAACACACTCTCCTGACTATACTTTGACAGGTCAGCTCCTTGCAAAAGGATGAGTTAATTTTAATTAATTTATTTTTTAAGTGAATGATCGTGGTCAGCTCCCTAAAGGTACCCCTGATAGTTCTTTAGCAGTCAGAGTGCCAAGGAAAAGCAGCTCCCCTGTACTGCCTTGGCTAGATCAGGAAGCCTTTGTGCCACTCTTGCCAAGGAGCTCTCCGTTGTTGGTGTTGGTGTTTTTACTTGACCATGGCTTATTGTGCAGTTTATGTTTAGACAACACAATAAGCCATGGCTACTCAGAGTGAATTCTAATACACCAAAAGGTGGCTTGCAAGCCACCCTGTGAGAAAAGTGCTGGGCTCAAACAACATGCTAAACTCTGGCTGACAAACCATCATGGCTTAACATGTTCTGTGATTCCAGTCAGAGTTGATGTTGTCGTCGTCTGTGATTCCAGTCAGAGTTGATGTTGTCGTCGTCGTTCCATACCATCAAGTACTCATCTCTGACCTATGGCATCCCTGTGAATGAATGCCCTCCAAAATGGCCTGCTATTGACAGCCCTGCTCAGCTCCTGTAAACAGAGTCCCTACTATACCAAGGATGAATGCTGACAGGAATGCCACAAGATCTTAGTGTTCATTCTCCCTCTGTAGATTAATCTGCCTTCTCCTAAAGATGACAATGGCGAATGGCCAGCATGCGAACACAGCAAGCAGAAAATAAGCTCTTTTATAATCATTAGGTCTCCCTGACTGATTACCATCTCTTGATGCAATCTTTGCACTCTTTTCTCAGAGCTAGCTTGACAGGGAAAAGCCCAGTATATCTTAAGAGAATTCTGCAGAGGCTGAGGAGTGTCAAGTTGAGTAACATCTTTCAAATTGCTCACCACAGGGGTGAGCAGCTTCCTGGGTACCCTAATCCAAACAATGTAGTCAAATTAATACTTAAATGATAGTCCTGACTACTTAGAATTAGTAGATCAATCTGGAGTGTTTATTTGGTTCACTGTTAGGAACAAAATACACTTCATTATTTACCTACCTTAAAGGTGCTGGAGCCATGTAGCAGAGTATGATTAATCCATTTATCACCTTTCAGTGTTTTTTAAATAACCTACTGTCAGATTTAAGATGCATGTTGTAAAATGACTTTGGTGATTTATAAATATATCAGGCCATCAGATATATTTATACATTAGGAAGCAGTTTCCAAATGTTATCTGGATTGCAATAATTACAATAGTAGGTTTGGTAAAGCACAAGGGTGCAAACAACCATATGGAAAAGTATGTTATGAATCCTTGAATGGTTTCTTTATCAAAGTAGCCTCGGGGGCAGCAGTTTTATGTAGAAATGAAACAGGAAATGAAGAGATATGCACTTAATATTTTCCCAGTACCCATTTTATGAGGGAGTTTATCCTTGTAAGTACTGGCAGGTAGTAGTGGAGACTCTAGGGAGTCTTATGTAAAATAGCATGTCTGAAGCTTTTTCCCATGTCACTTTAGTGAATGGGGTACCACCACACATATATCATTCTATAGTGTGCCTACTTTATCCAGTGAAGTGAATGGAAAGTCAGCACATGCAGGCATTTCAGGCCTTATTTGATGCAAGCCAGGAAAGTAGATCACGGGATTTCCATTTTTTCCAACATATGAGGCAGAAGCCTTTTATCACCACACTGCCCTAAAGGAAGACTCCATGTTTACCTACTATTTACAGATAGTCATTTACCGTATTAAGAAACACAGGATTCATTACAAGCTAAGCCTCTGCACAAATGCATCAATAACAAGAAGTCAGCCTGTCAATTGAAGGTTGCCTTAAAAATGTTTAGAGTATTCTTTCTTAATTACGTTTTGCTTAGGGTTCAGAGCAAGAAAAAAGACAATATGATAATTGAGATGAGAAATGAAAATCTTTGTCTCATATTTGAACAAATTGCCTAAATAATATATATCCATAAATATTTTAGCATATTGATTAGGTTCTGTAATGATAGAGTGTTGATAGACTCTGTATTCTCTTTCTTTACTGAATAAAAACATTGCAAAATGACAGCCCATTCTATTTCTATTCCTATTGTACACTTAGTAATACAATCTTTTGACTGTTATTTCATCTAATATCAAAGTTGCTTAAGTCATGTAATTTTCAGTGCCCTTTAGCATCTGACATGCTGTGCTTTGTAGAATTCTGATTAAATATTCTGAGCTGGTTTTAGAGGATTAAAGGGTTAAACTCAATCTCATTTTCCCTTCCCTCCCCTTTAAGCCCTCCCCACTCCACATCTTTTCATGTACGCTTCTGTCCTTCCTTCACAGCTCTGGACATGGATGGAAGACCTTCAAAAAGAGCTCTTGGAAGATGTCTGTGCTGACTCTGTGGATGCTGTTCAAGAACTCATTAAGCAGTTCCAGCAGCAGCAAACAGCTACTTTGGATGCTACCCTTAATGTCATCAAAGAAGGTGAAGATCTAATCCAGCAGCTCAGGTCAGTTCATTATATTGCACCAGAGGCACAGTTGAAGAGAGGGGTGTAACTTAGAATGTAATGGGGAAATGTATCACTTCCCTGTTATTTATTTAGCATGATTCAGAATATTTTATTGAAACTACAAGGAATGATTTGTAGAGACAGATAAAACTAGTTTAAATCTCTGTGTACCAGTGTGTATAATGGATGAGAAGAATTGTAGAAAAATGAAAGTGAGCATGATTAAGTGGTTACTGTATAAATATTTTGGAAGTGGATATTTGCAGAATACTGTTAAACCATATAAACTAAAGCCAGGTGATATATATGTTTGCCTTGCTAAACAATGTCTGGCAACAACTAAATCAAACATACAATTTTATATAACATTGAATACAATATTTTACCATCTACAGAGCTTTTAATTAATGAGATGTTTGGTGTCAGGTGGAGCACTCATTTCTTCTCCTACTGGCAATTGCACTTTCATTATGAATTACAAGAGGCAGTTTGACATCATTCAGAGTGTATGTAAGAGACGACTCAATGGAATATCTTTGCTACCTTGAGATAATGGCAGCATGTTATTCAGTCTCTTATCTTACTTTGTTTTTATGCAGTTGGCTTTCACAGACTTTAAACAGGATTGCTCTGGAAGTAGTTTTTTTCTAAAATAAAAATTTAAAAGTGTGATCACAGTTATATCTGCTCGGTGGTAGGGTGCATGAAGGTAAAGACTGCACAATACAATTTATGTTCTTAAAAGTTATATACCTAAGGGCCAGTTTTAATTATTCTCCTCTTTGTTACATGGTGAGTAAGCACCAAATTGGAAAAGACAGGAGGAGATCTGTGGTGGGATCTTAACTTTTGAAACATTGCGTAGTATCCAGATGGTATTTGCAAATGTCTCCATGGAGCAGATTCAGATGCATCTTTTTTCAGTGAGAAAACGGCACAGGGACAAAGGTTGAACCACTGTCCAAGCACCACAGGCCTGATCTAAATCCCACTCCCCGTGGCTCATTTCAAATTTTTGAAAAGGGACATCTGTTAATGGGAAGGCTGGGAACCCTTTTTCTGTTATGGTTATAGGCCCTCCATGTTCATCTGTTAGGGTCATGGGTTGGTAATGGGTAGGGCAGAAGCCATCAGGGTCCAAGTGTGGGTAGAAGCAAAGCCAAAAGAGAGTAGAGCCACCCTTTCTTCTGCCTCTGGGTTCCTCTGCACAAGGTCTTCCTTGTGTACTCATGTTCTTTCACTCTTGGATATTTGTGTGCCACTTATATGATGTGAACATTCTCCAGCTTCTCCCATTGCTGCTGCAATTCTCACAGCATTTTTAAAAACAAGAAAAATGGAGTACTTTCCTGGATGCCTCCATTATTTGCTTAGCTTATATTTTCAGTTCTGCAGTGCTTCCTTGTGTTGTGTAATAGGACATGTAGGACCAGGCAGAGAAGAAGTGGGGGGAGCACTGGGGGGGAAAATCTCATGTGAAGGAGTCATTAAGTTTCTTGCGAAGAACATGGAAGAGAAAGGCTTGATAAAGTTCCAGGTCAAATGCCTCAGGTTGAAAAGCCTGAAAACCCACCCTCTTTGACAAACCATTCTCTTGCTTTCCACCCTACCTTGTGTTGTGTGCACACACTCTGGCTAGATTCCTAGGTGTGCACACGAAACGGCCTATTTTGGTGGGACTGATAGCTCAGACTGTGAGGATGATGTGGAACTGGCTGAAGCAGACGAGGCTCAGCGCGCACACTCTGATGACGGAACTGTCATTGCAACAGACAGGCCTGCGCCTGCACACTCCCCACTCAGTGCCAGTTCGAGCCTGCTCTGGATGGAAGTGGCTCAAGGACACCCATGGGGCCCAGTCTCCCTCCCACCTGTGGGCATGAAGCAGGTGAAGGACGGGAGGGAGAGATTGGAATTGGGTAGTCTCTCGGATGGAGAACGCCAGCTTCCTGCCAGCATGGACCTGACGGCCCACCAGCACAGCCGCAGGTTGGCCCAGTTAGGGGCTCAGAGTGCAGAACAGGCGCACCCGATTCCACAGTACCCCTCAGGTCCCGAAGTTCATAAGCAAAGCGGGGCAGAGAGGGGTCTACACTTTTGCATGCTCAGAGGCTTGTGAATGCTTAGAGTTTTCTATTAGAATGAAGACACTTACAAGAAGCACTGGAGAGAATGTTATGCTTGGGAGGAAATGCCTAGCTCACGACAAATTGTGGGTTCCAGGGACAGGAACAGGCCACTTATCTGAGGTTCAAAGAAATCACTGGCAGATGCATGTGGACCATCCTGTGTGGATAGGAGGAGATCTGGTTGTCAGTATGACTGTCATGTCCCATGAAGCAAAGTGAAAGTGGGGGTGAAATTGGCAAAAGTTGAGGTAAACAGGAAAATACTACTGGATCCAACAAGGCAGTGGTAGCCCTGGAGGCACGTTTGGCCCCCATCTCATTCCAGGAGTGTTTGTGAGTTCATGATTTGAGTGGTGACGCTTCAGGCCATTATGAAAAAAATAATGCATTTTTTAAAAGTAGTGGAAAAGGATAGTCAACCCACCCCTGTGCCTTACACATTTCATAGCCTGATCAAAAATCTGTTAAACATCCTTGAAGTTTTTTGGACATTTGCCTGAGCAGAAACACACACCTTTGTATCAAAATTCATCTTAGTGGTATCTCTGAAAACTGCTTCATCTTTCATCATCCCACAACTAGTAACATCTTTGCTAGAGTTTTAAACTTTTGTTTGGTGATGAACAGAACAGCAACACTTTTGCCTACCTCTTTGGAACCATTTGCAAGATTACATTTTGGAAGGTTGTCCTCCAGCATAATTAATATAAAATTTAAACTAACTTTCTAAATTTAAACTAACTTTGAATAATCCAAGATTTACATCAACTACTTAGGGGCACTATCACATGCTTTAGGATGTATTGTATAACTCAGATGACTTGTCTTTTACTGTGCTGGTATCACATCTTACCCCAATGCTATTTGGGTAATTGTAATACGTTCTTTTAACGCATAGTGTTTGGCAATGATAGTGTTAAATGTGTACTAGTGTTCTCTCTAGTACTTCTGTTCAGGCATTCCAAATATTCCTCCTGAAAAGAAGAACTAGGGTTCATGCAGCAGCTCCATTCAAATCACAATTCCAGTTACTTCCATTTCTTAAAAGGTTATAATCTTTTGCAAGGTACCTGCTCATCTTATTGAGAATTTCCATGCTATTTGGAAATCACATATTTTAAGTTCCAGATTGCACCAGAAACCTACAGAAACAGAGCAAGCTTCCCAACACAGACAATCAACCTTCAAGTCTTAGAATGGAGCCAATACATTTATCTCTGCTTTTTCTTCCCCATGCAGGTCTAACTGTGTGCTGGATATTAACCTGGAAAAAAGACTTGCATTTTTATCCCATTAAGAACCATGAAACAGTAAAAAAATTATTAAAACCTAAATGCATATTAAAATTAACCCATGGCCAATTTTATGCCCTTTGGAAAACTTGCATAATACTATTCACCACTTGATATGTGTGATGAAAGTCGCTTTAACAAACAAGTGGTTAAAATGAGGAATGGAGTGTACTTAATGGGTCTCAGATTAGTTTGAATGATTTAATTCTTCCTGTATGCGAGTCTGAATGTTGCATTTTCTCTATTTTCTTGTCACTGAAGCTATATTTAACAATTTGAAAGCAGGCTTGGGTTATTTCATTTAGGTTGTGAATTTTTTTAAAAAAAAATCTGAAGCTCCTCATGAGATTAAAATCTATTGAACAATTTAAGGCAGGATTTTCTTTAGTGTGGAATGTGAGGCAACAAAGCAAATAAATTATTGTGCAAGTTTCTTCTGTGTTGGTTTCTGTTCTAGCTTGTCAGAGGCAGTGCTCTGTAAAACAAGTGTAAGATGTTGCTTTCTGAGCTAACAGGGAGCCTGCAAAGGGCTACTCAAGTGCTTCCCACCAGTACAGAAAAAATAAGAGGGAGTGTCCTTCCTACTCAATTTACTGTTCTTTTCTGTATTATTTAAATAATACATTTCTGGACTAGAAATGTTTTGCTGAAAGATAATTTAACTCACACGCCTTTGAAATATTTGAAATTTGTTCCAAGTGTTGCTCTTAAATTCTATTTTGTGACCATATGATGAAGTTTAAAAAATTTTTCAAGACATGCCAAGGAATTCTAATAAACTAAGTAAAAATTCCAGTCCCTGAGAAAATCCCCCAAATTCATGATTAGGAAATACTTTGCTTCATTGGGAACAAGAAAAAATGTACATTGTGGGCAGTGTTTGACTATACCATTGAGTGGCACAGGATTCAAATGGGGTAGATGTCATGCAGGTTATTTGCTGCTCACTCCTACCTGCTTTTTGTTTAAAAAAAAAATCCTGATGCTATCTGATGACTCGTGGCTCTGTGCATTATTGACTGATCCTAATAAAGCTATTGTGTGACCATGGATTAAGAAGTTCCAGCCTCCCCATTAGCTATGAGCAACCCACTTAATCTTCAAGCATGCATGAATTCTGTGAATCATAGTTTGCATATCATGCTTAGAGCAGTTTTGATGTTGAAGATTCTGAGGTAGACTAAGTATTGGGAGAGAACAGAGAGAAAGAAAATCAAGAAAGATTGCTAGTCAGAGTTCTTAAGAACTTTATGCAAGCATTCATACCTTCCCTTTTTCCAAACCCTCTCTTTGTGCATAGAAGTCAAAATCTCACTAGGCAGGAAAGGATGAATACAATATGCTGGGTAGTATTCAGCTTCCTCCAATCTTCAGGGTTTTTCTTTAAAGCTATTTATAAAGCTGAGAATGTTTAATTTTTTCACATGGCTTCTTCCAACACTGGCCGTTCATTTCTGACCATTCCTTGACCAACCTTTCATCTTTGACTTTACTACAGGGATTCAGCAGTCTCCAACAATAAAACACCACACAATAGCTCGATCAGCCACATAGAGTCTGTCCTTCAGCAGCTTGATGAAGCTCAGGTACAGATGGAAGAGCTCTTCCATGAGAGAAAAATTAAGCTAGACATCTTCCTTCAACTCCGGATTTTCGAACAATACACCATTGAGGTAAGAGTTGTGGTGTACATGATAGAAAGGGAAAGTCTTGGAGGGATACAGGAAGGAGTCAGAAAGATAAAACCTGTGCTCAATAAACAAAACATTGCTTTGTCTGGAATAATAATTCTTGTGGTGAGGTCAGAGTCGTTGTGCACTTTATTAAATGTGTGCTCCAAATATGTACTCCACAGCACAAGTTCATAGGGCTACTACTGAAGCATGGTTGATGAAAGGAAGGAGAGAAAGAAGTTGGGTCTTTGCGAGAAAACATGTCACAATCTATCTACCATGTGCTTGTGATACTTGCTGAACTACAATTCATACCTCTTTCACAAAGCCTGTGAATTGCCTATCTGAGAGAGGGATATAATCTTCCAATGTAGAGAAGAATCCACATTTCTGAAATGTTCTGAAAATATTACCCAAGCAAAAATTGTGTGGGGGCGTGAGTCCCAAACAGTTTAATTTGCAAATAAATTAGGGTAGAGAAAGTACTCAACCTTGTGCAATGGTCCATCACACTTTACCTGTGAAATAAGGAGCGGTGGCTTACAACTAGGAATGGTGCACTTAAAATAAAAGCTGGATTAAATATGCAACCACAGGCTAGGTAGAATGTAACCTGAAGTTGATAGGGCTTGCAAGCCAGCCCAAGATGTTCCTGGGGGACAAGATAGAAAAACTTTTAATAAATAAAAAAAAATATTGTCTAAGGGCATTCACTAATTGCTATAGGTTTTCTGAACTGTAGAATGATCACAGGGCAGTTGTTTTATAGCTTCTTCACACTCTCTAGGAAACAGTCTATTGGAAGCATTCCGTAAATGGAGGACCCATTACACAGAATCAAGGTTGAGGTACAGTTCTTTCAGCAATTTCTAAATAGCTGTACTGTACTGAGAAGAAAAACAGGTACTGCTAATGGAGAAGCAGGATACCATAAATATATACTATGTCCTAAATATGCAGTGCTGGTTAAAGTGACCCCCAGCTTTCCAATTGGTATTTTATAGTCAGAAGCAGATATTTTCTATTTTATGTTAATATAACAGAACACCATTGATTAAATTGGTCTGGTGGTGAAGCATAGGAATGGAACTTCAATCCTAGATCAAAGCATAAATTTGCTTTGCACATTACTACTGCTATGTACCCTGTGAAATTAGTTGACCATTACTCATGGCTGAACATAGATTGCACATAGTCTCGTGGGGCAATCCACATTAAGTTATCACATACTACTAGTATTCTATAGTTATGATTTTATTTATTTTAGTTAGTTCCAGGCAGTAATATTATCCCAGGAAATTATGAAAACTAACAATTCCATATAACAACATAGCAATCAACAAAATAAACTAAAACTTTTATAAAGTATAGAATAACAGATAAAAACACTAAAGTCATTCCATAGCCAACTAAGAGGAATATTTTTTTCACTGTCTGCAGCAAGGTGAGCAGAGATGGGAAAACATTATGGAAAAATAAAAGGAGAACTAAAAGCAAGAAACCCAACTGCATATATAAAAAATGGGACCAATATCTACAGCTTGCACTTTTAAAGAGGACTTGTATTAACCCCGACCATATTGACAAATATTATTGGTGGGGCAGAATAAAATAATATTTCAATGAAAAATGATTTGTTTAATCTGAAAATGCTCATCTCAAAAATTACTGATCCAAAAATCTATGATATTTCATTGCATACATCTTGCATCTCTGTGGAAGAAGGAATACCACATTTGTTTTCCTGTTGCCAGAATACTCCTCCAGTGCCCCAGCATGAAACTCAGAGCAGCTATTCTTCATACAATTAATTTAATCTAACATTTGAAATTTTAAACATTCAAGGAAGCTTCCTCTTCATTTGTCACGACCATTAAAGAACTATTTGGTTTTTGTCTGAACAGATTTTGAGTAGGCATAGGGGTGCCATGTTTCATGTTGCCTGTACAGTACTTCACATTTTGCAATCCAAATAGATGTTTACCCTCTATCTTGTCTGTACGCTAGGAGAGGCTATTTAAAAAGACATACAGCAGTAGACTCATGTCTTCTGTGAGAGTTTGAATTCTGCTCCTACACTTTAGGAAGATTCTCTCACATAGGATGGGAGATTAGTAAGTGTAAACTTTCAGGGCTAATTCTGACATTTCCTCCCTCTGAATATTTCCCTCCCACTGATGCATTTGCTTTCCTCCATTCTGCTATGGAATTCCAGCATTTGTAAAGACCAAGGTACAAGAAGTGTCTGGGTTTATTGCATCTTTCTGGTTCTGGTTTTCATCATGTTTTTCTTTTCACTTTTGGCTGAACAATAGTGCCAAGCAATTGTATACGTTATTACATTGCACAGTTTTCTGTTCGTCACAAAATTGTATGTTCATAATCACAACAGAGGTCCTTGGCAACTTGCATTTTACCTCACCTTTCAATCGCCCAGCTTTCTAGTATTTCTGTATTTGCCTGTTCTAAGCCCTCTTCAGTTTGTAGTGCTATCTGTTCTGGTTTGTCTGAACAAGTTCTGTCCACTGTACACTTCTGTCCTGTGGACCTGGCTTCTCATAGGTCCCTTAAATGTTTCTTTTTTGACAGCACTGCATTCTTTGTGTCCTTTCTGTCCACAGTGTTATTCCTCAATACCAAATATAGTTGCTCACTATTTCATTTGAAGAATTGATGGTGAGATGTATGTTCCAGGCTGTTCTTATAAATTTTTGTTTATTTAACAAAATAGTCTGTTTGCTAACATGGAGACAACTGAATTTTTAAAAATAATTATGTACTGAGACATTATTAATCTACATTACTAGCCAAGCATTAATCCCAAACAGTAAGATGAGCTTGGATGCATTTTTTCCCAGCCATTCCATGAAGTCTCAATGCAATGTGAAGAGCTTGTGTATGTATGTATGACGGCTAGAGGAATATAGGAATCTCTAGAATCAACTTGACTATTAGCTTTGACTTTTAAATTAACATAGTGATTCTTTCCTACCACTCTTCTCTCAGTTCTGGTTTTCTACTTGCTCATATCTCTCAGTTTCAATCTTGACATTTCTCAACCTCTGGATCCACCTTCTGTAGAATTCTGCTGCTTGCATTCCTCTTTGTCTACTCAAGTCTTTTATTTTCTTCCCATTCCTGTCAGGAGGAAACCTGTACCATGGGCTGCAAGCCACTTTAACCCTGAGGGAGCACCATTTCTAAGTCTAGTTCATATGATCAAGTTTGTCTTTTGAGATAGCTTCATAATGTTAAAAAGTTGGCACTAATAAATTATGCAGTCCTTCAGATTATGCTGTTCTAAACCATTTGGACTTTAAAAGCCATTTGGACTTTAAAAGCCAAAACCAGCACGTTGAATTAAGCCAGGAAACTAATTGGCAGCAAATGTAAACATTACAAGAAAGAAACAATATGATCCTAATGCTTAGCTTCCACACGCACTCCAGATGCTGCTATTTCTACCAGATTAATTTTCCAAGTCATTTACAAGGGCAGCCCTACATAGAACACATTAATCTAACTGTTGAGGACAAAACAAACAAACAAACAAACAATCTCTCTTATTTGTTATCTGACTGTCAGAGACACAGGCAACACCAGCAAGTAGTTTATTTATTTATGTGAAAGACTCTTCACTGTAGGTACACACTAACAATAGAGATAACACAAGATCATCTCCAGTCAGGACCAGCTGCTATAGTTATCATACACAGTGAATTTTTATGTTCAGCTTTTTGAATGATTAGTAACAGAAAATGTCATAGCAGAAATCATTCATATGGTTTGTATATGGTTATCTTAACCTAGACTTATTTTTAGGACATCTGGTGTCAAAACATCTACCTCCAGGCTTATCTTTACAAATGTTGACCTTCTCAGCAGAGGTTTATTTTATGTTTTTCACCCTCTTGTGTCTCTCTGATAGAACACCGAGTAACTGACCCTTGTTGTTCGGTCATCAGGAAGAATTTATATTTTTTTATAATCAAGGCATGTGGCACTGCAGCTATGTCTCGTATGTGAAATGTCTTTCCCTTATTTATTCGTTTGTGCACTCAGAGCACTGGCAAATTTCAAACCTTTGCACAGCCGTTTTCCTTCAGAGTCTAAGTGCTTTTGGCAAAGCATAAACAGAATAATCCTAAGGAAGCTCCATGTATGCGTATTGCCATAGGCAATCTAGTTTGAACAAACTGAAGTTAAATCCAAAAATGATAGAACTGTTATCTGAGCCCAAGATTGGATTTAATCTGTTCTAGATGGGATTGCAGTCCCTCTGAAACACAGGCAAATATTTAGAGAATGCTCATGGAACCTGCACTATTCTTTCATCTTCAGGTGCTTGGCCAGCTACATCTACCATGCTAGCTGCAACCTTCCTGAGTCAGTTTGCTCTGGCAACAGTTATCCATGTGATGCCTTAGTTACATCACACTTAGAATACTGCAGTGTGCCCTGTATGGGACTACTCTTGAATCGCAGGGTTTGAAGACAGCGTTCTGACTGGGATGGCTGGCATATGAAGCCCCTTCAAGCCTCCTTCCCTTCCTTCTAAAATGTCATCGCTTGAAAAGCTCCAAGTCGTGAAAATGGACCATTTGGAGCAGGAGAAAATAAGAGGGAAAGATTGCTTCCCCACTCCTACATGGGGTGAGCATGAGCCTCCCAGTTCAGGAGGTCACGATCAGCTCCACAATAATGTGGGGTCTGGCTAGATGTGGGGTCACTTGGTATGACTAGTAAGTTCAACTAATAAGCTGGGGAAGACCTTTTGAAGATGCCTCTCTTGCACAGGTCTGTCAGGCACTCAAGAAAGGACCTTCTCCTGTGTTGCTCCCAAACACAGAAGTGCTCTGTGGAGTTGCAACTGGTTCCCACTTTCTCTGCATTCAGGAAGGGCTTTGGTGGGGTGTGCTTTATAGAGGTCTTTTAAAAATTTACTTTTTAAGTTGTTTTGGTGTTTAAGGCTTTGATTTATCACTGTGTTTCAATTTGTTTATGGTTTTTATTTTTAAAATGTTTGTTAAATGACCTGCTTAGTTTCAGTGAGGCAGTATAAAAAAATGAAATAAATAAATAAATAAATGTTGATTTTTATTGTGTGAAAATGCCTAATTTGGGGAGATTCCTTTAATTACCCACAACAGCCTACAGTGATCTTCTCTGAGATTCGACTATAATAAACATGATTGCCTTTTACTTTCTAAACCATACTTACATCACCTTGCTTCTAAACTCTACTATAGATTTTACAATGACCAGCTGAATTTGCTGGACTGAGACTTACGGCTGTAATGCAGAAAAGGATAAAGACATTTTAGAGACTCTTTCTCAGCAACCTGGTTTTTGAAAGCCTTGAATTGATTCTTTTTTACTTTGAAGGTGACAGCTGAGTTAGATGCCTGGAATGAAGACCTACTAAGACAAATGAACGATTTCAATACTGAGGATCTGACCCTAGCAGAGCAGCGTCTTCAGCGACACACAGAGCGGAAGTTGGCTATGAATAACATGACTTTTGAGGTTATCCAACAAGGGCAAGATTTGCATCAGTACATCATGGAAGTCCAAGCTTCAGGTAGGCAGAACAGTGTTAGCTGGTCAATCTGGCATCACAAAAATGTAATATGAGCAGAGATATCTGGCAAGAATCAATACACAAGGAAATTAAAACAAGCATTGTTTTTACATATTTTTCCCATTAGTGAGGCTTTCTAGGTCAAGATGGAAACCTAATTAAATCTCCTGAATGTTCTCAAAAGCAAATGCTATCAATGGCTCCTACTCTTAATGGCTACATATTAGCTTCAATAAGCAGACAATATGCTTATGTAAACCAGTTATTGGGTAAGAGGAACAGAATGGTTTTACTGCTCTTCTGTTCTGTTTATGGATTGCCTACAGGTAGATGTTTGGCTACTTTGTCAACCAAATGGCTCTTCTTATGTTCTCAAATTATACCTAAGACAATGAGAACACAACAAGACAGCTTAGGTAAATAAATGAAATGGAATGGGAAACCATGGGCCCGTCATACAATTATTTATTTTCGCTCCTAGATATATCTCCCCTCAACTTAAGACCCAGATTTTCACATCTATTATTTCATTCATTCAGTCATTCATTCATATACTGCCCAGTAGCTGAAGCTCTCTGGGAGGTTCACAACAATTAATAAAAAAAGATACAAGAAAATACAAATGCAATAAAATACAATCTAAAACTCCAGGATACAAATTAAAACAGTTTAAGAATCCCAATATATACAAACGCACACACACACGTATTCATGCGCGCACACAGAGAGAGAGAGAGAGATTAACAGCTGAAACATTCTCAATAAAACTAGGCCTAGGTAAAACAGCTGGCATATCCCAGTGTATGCCATTAACTGCCTGGAAACAGAGGAGCGTTTTAACCTAACGATGCTGGTGTCAGGCTACCCTCAGCAGGAAGACCATTCCACAACTGAGGGGGCTCCACTGAAAAGGCCAACCCTTGTTGCTTCTTTCCAGACCTCCCTTGGAGGCGGTAGTCAAAAAAGTGAAACAACCAAGAAAACACTCTTCCCTTGCTCCATGGATAGGAGGTATGCATTAGCCTAAAAACTTCCCTACCAGACTATGCGTAAACACTGAAGTAAGGGGAATGGTTAGGAAGTAGTTTCTGGTTTTCCATTTAGGATTATTCTACCTTGCTTTTCATGAGCTTAAGAATAGCACTGAGACCTTACGCAGTGTCAGCTGCTTAGAAATCACAGTGCAAGTCAGGGAAAGCTCACACATATCTAGGGGCTGTTACTACAGCCAAAGCTTATCTTACTGCTTCAAGTGCAAGCCAATTCAAGACTGAGGCAAAGTGAAACATCACCATTTCAGGATATGTAATCTGGTAAACAGCTGTACTGAAAATCACATAGAAGTGAAAATGGCTAGTTTGTTCCCTTTCTTGGTCCAAACAAAACAACTTCTCCATTACAGAGTAAGGCAGAAAGGCTCTTGCACTTCATATTCGAGCTAGTAATATATCCTTCCCTTTGGGAGCAAGGTTTTTCTAAATGCCAGGCTTTGCTCATATTTCTTATAATTAGTCTGCACGTGGTGTTGTGTCCTCAGGACTTTTCCAGCATTTAGTATGCTTGACTTCACTACATGTCTTTGATCTGACTGCGTTCACAATTTTCAATCATATCCACGGCTGGTGTATTTCTGATTGCAATAACTCATCAGTGGCAATCACTAAAGGGCCTCAGATATCAAAGGGCAGTCTGCTCTCCTGTGATGAATGATTTGCCCTTTCTGTCTTGTCATATGTCACACAGTTTTCAGCCACGTTGCTGGCATACACAATGGCAAAACGAGGACTTCTTACATGCTGGTATTTATTAACTCTGAAGCATTTTTTTAAATTCATTGAATTTGGGAAAATATTCAATATTTAAGCTATCTAAATTAGTATGTTTGCTTTTACATAATATAAGCATTTAACTGGTTTTAAGTGGAAAATGACTAGTATACTGGAATTTTGTTTTTTAATACAAATGTTTATTAAATGTTTACAGCTTCAACAAAGAAATTACTAGTTTACATTTTTCACATCCCTTGATACAACTTGTGTGATCTGTTTTACTGGCTGCAAAGCTCTCTGATTCCAAGCTCCTGTTTCCAGCTCTGAACCTAGTAAAATCTCTTTCAATACGTTTTGCAACTATCACTTGCTTCCTTTCTCTAAACCAGTTTTAGCTCCTGTATAGTTTTTGTCTTCTCCAGAGTCAGTCCTTCATACCCTGTCTGTATATATCTTATTCCTTGCAGCTATGGCTGTTAGAAAAAATGCTTAGATTAATAAAATATATTAGGAAAGCCCTTATCAAAAAATGAAGATGTTGATAAGAAGCAATGCCCTTTGTTGCCAATGATCATGACCTTTGAAACAGAAAAAACTGCTCCAAAGGTCCCATGGCACCCATCCTTCCTGTATTTGTCTCCAAGGGGTCCACAACCATCTCAAAGGAGTTAGTGCCAGACCTTGATCTCAAGACAGGTGGTTCAGGTCTTTCAAGTGAGGAGAAACCCACCAATCATCTAATCTTCTTCCCTTGAAACCCTGCTTTAGGCAGTAAACTGGGGATTACAACACAGGTCTGTAGTATTCATGTCCAGTTCCGAGCACTGCCCTCTCTAAAAGACGTACAGTCTCTGCCTTGGGTAGGGATTCTGCCAGCCATCTGGCTGCCTCAGCAGTAGAAATGTTTGGCTGAGTCTAGTTTGCATTGGTGCCATACCCATGCCACCCATGGAGCTTTCCAAGGTGCTGCAGGCATTTTCTCTGACCGTGGCATCTGCAACCATGCCTGTGTGCTTCCTGGTGATCCATTTATCCTGCCTTCTTGCTGTCTTCCTGCCTATTGTTTGGCACCTCTCTCGCCCTGGTCAACAGCCTCTGCTTAATACCCATGGGATCATATCCAGCTGTAACTGGATTAAACTTTTATGAGTGCTAAAACAGTTCAGAATAAATTATTTAATGTTATGATCTGAACTTACTGTGACTGTCTGACAATTTGTATTTCCTTTCCAATGCATATCAAAGCAAAGAGTCCCCACATCGTAATAATCAAAAAGATGTGTGTTTTACTTGCTTCTCTAGTGAACTACCTAAAGGGCATATTCCCTTCCTCCCTAATGAAGTAAAATGTCCCTGGGCTAGGTTTGTTAATTGGAATTATGAAGTATCTAACTTGAGATGCATTAATACATCTGATGAGATTGTAGATTTGACTCAGCAACCCTAAATTAGGTCTTTAGGGGAGCAATTCTATGGTCATTTGGAGAGCATTCCCAGGCCCAAATTACTCATAAACTTGTCTAGGTCAGAGACCCCACTCCAACCCACAAGGGAGGGTGGGAGATCTGACCCCAAACTCATCTGATACACACCTGCCACAGAGACACTCACATCAGCTGCTTCTCTAGAGAGGGGGAAAGGGGCCTTTTCAGTAGGAATGGAGACCAGAATTTGAGTTATTTTCCGTTCTTTCTAGCCTTTTTGCCTCCCAATCTGAAACACCCTCACTCGATGTACTGAAAAGCCAGTCTAGTGAAATCTGCTGGGCAGGAGGATGGGGAGGTAAAGAAATGCCACACCACACCTCCTGCCCTGTACTGCATTATCAAATGCCTCTGAGTTTGTTAATCGCTGAGGGTGCAATCAATAGGATTGCCCCTTAAGCTAACATTGCTGAAGTTGCTGATGCTTGTAAATAGGCTAGGTGATGAAGTATGAATCAAATTAGCTGTGCGTGCTTTCCTTTTCTGTTTGTTCTTTCTAGTTCAACAGTTTCTAGTTTCAGTGCCAGAAAACTGAACTTTTAGGACACATCAATTAATATGTATTTTTGTATGAATCATTTTTGAATGAGAAAATAAATGTCACATAGGCAAAGAAGTTACATAAACATAGGCTTATCCTTGAACTTCTAATGCAACAGTTCCTATCTAATGATAAATATCAACTTGTTTTAGATCCAGTGTTTCTGCTGAAATGAATAATAAAACTGATTCTATGGGAGCAGGTGGCCAGTGAAGAATTTACCTGAGCATATGGGAAAATTTCTCCAAAGAGTAAACGATTCAATGAGGAAATTGTTTTCTAGTTACATATATAATATGATGCACTGGCACTCACTTCAGGAATCACAAGCCATGATTTATCTGTTTTTTCTCTACTGATTTAAGATTGTAAGAGGCTGTAACTCAGGGGGCCACTTGAAAGGTGCTGGCGATGGGCGTGGGCCGCCAAGGCAGTGCGGGTGGGGGGTGCAGGCCAGGGTGAGGGGCGGGGGGGGGGCGGGCGGGGGGGGGGGGGGGGGGGGGTGCGCATGGTGAGGCAGGAGCACACAGAGGTCGTTTTCCCTGAGCGCTGGCTTGCTCGCAAGGAGATCATTTCTCTGAGCGAGTCCAAAACGATCTCTGCATGAGCGAGCCGCTACCTTGCCACACGTGCATGTGCGGTGAATCCAAAATCTCTGTCGTGGGCTGGATCTGGCCCATGGGCCGTAGTTTGAGGACCCATGCTGTAGGTGCACACAAGGTAGCTAAGCCAGTGCTGAAACCATTTTCATCTTCATAATCTGTTTCTCCTTCTCCTTCCAGCTCTTTAGTTGGCACCCTAAGATAGCAACAAATAACTTTTAAAAATGTACAATGAGTTACATGTCCCTCCACTAGGCTGCAAACCAAGACACTGATTCTTGGCTCTGAATAACTCACATGCAGCACAAATGCATGAATGCATGTACAAATGCCTGAATGCCCATACTGAATCCAGTCTGAGTTCAGCACATTCAAAAACAGGGCAATAAAATCAGTGTAAAGCAACTTTCAAGGCCCTTAGTTCAAGGCCTTTTCTTGTTTTTCTTTTTGTTTTCTTTTGCACCATGTAGTATAAGAGAGTTGTATAGTTCTGCTCCCATATAGGCTGAAGTGCCAGGCTATATGGGAGCAGATTTTGGAAGCTAAGCTAGGTCAGGCCTGTTTGAAATCTGGAGGGGTGGCTTAAATGCCATGAACCATCCAGAGAGTTTTGGCAACAAGCGATAGAAAGATGATGATGATGATGAAGATGATGATGATGATGATAGTATAATTCTGACCCACCAGAATCAATGGGATATTAATTATGAACTTCAGTAAGGTATACACTGTGTTCTTTATTTCATACAATCAATGAAGTATAGGAGACCCGGAGGGCTCTTTGTCTTTGGTTTAAAAAGGAATCAGTATTCACTAAAATGTGAATCACTGATCACAATGGCTGGGGTAAGCAATTCATTGAAAAATACTTGCTTCAAATGACCATGAACAAGAAAGGCAGCAGCTGGAAGAATAACATTTTTGCAGCTATGCAACAAATATCCTGTACAGAGACCAGCTGCAGCAAAACTATATAATACGCTAGATTATACCAGCTAGCAGGCTGACTTCTCAGTGTGTCATATGAATAAGTTCATCTAAAATAAATTAGCAACAGAAAAATGCAGGTGCTAGTTTTAGGTCACAGCACCTGTTTGTTTTTTTTTCCTTTAGGGCAGCAGTAGCAGGACGGTCTACTTTTCTATCTATCTGAGGGCATTTATTTCATTACAGGTATTGAACTGATCTGTGAAAAGGACATTGATCTAGCAACACAAGTACAGGAGCTGCTGGAATTTCTTCATGAGAAGCAACATGAGCTGGAGCTCAATGCTGATCAGACACACAAGCGGCTGGAGCAGTGCCTTCAGCTCCGGCATCTGCAGGCAGAGGTCAAGCAGGTCAGAGTTTTCCCCACTGGCATTAGGCGGTTTTTATTTTGTCTTAAATTTTTCCTAGGAGTTATTCTTTGCTGCTACACACAGAGGCTGTTAAAATATTTGTCTATACCATTCAAAATCTGTAAAGTTCTGAGCTTGAATCCACTTTTTTAATTTTAATTTTTAATTGTACTTGTTATGATTGCAAGTCTCAGAAAGCATGGCAAAAAAAAAAAAAAAATCCCATTGTGTAAAAGGCCTCTTCAATATTCAGATTCAGATTCCAGGAAGGATGGGCCACATAGGTTTTTAAGCCAGATGTGTTTACACTTTGCACATGTTCTGAAAAACGTGTTGGAGAGGGCAATCAAAAGCATTCTGCAAAATGCTAGACTATTTGTCTCCTAGATATATGTATTGTTGAAGTGGCAGGTGGTTGCAGCTTGCTCTGATTTAATTGTATGACATTTATTGGCACATTAAGGGTATTTAACATCTTACAAATGGATTCTTTGGAGCTTTCATTAAATCAAATCAGAGGAGTAAAATCAGTTACTGGAGGAATGATAATCGCATAAGCAAGATAGGACATGAAAATTTCTTTTTCTTTAAAAACATCTCTCTGAATTTTGTCTTTATAACAATACATCAGTAGAAGTACTGCTGCATTATGGGATATGGTGTTACAATGCAATAAAACTGCAGCTTGGAGTATAGATATTATGGGGAGTTGGAGTTATGTTATAGAAAGATAAAAATGTTTCATGTAGATTTATAGAGGACAGATCTATTTCAGTCCCCTTTGGCCCTAGTAGCTGACAATGGAACCTTCATGTTCATAAAAAGTATACTGTAATACAGATGATGAGTTCAGTGAAGGAGGAATATCTCTCTCCAGATGCTTCTGACAGCTTTCCAGAGGCTTTTGACAGGCTGAAATTAGATGCTCTTGAACCAAGAAAGTGGGTTCTTTCAAAGCAAGATGACGCTAGAATCTTAAGCACCAGCAAAATGGAATTAAAATGAAATAATCTAATTAAACCTGCTCATGCTATTTTAACAGTCATTTTTAACAACTTTAGTGTTCAGATGTTTAAAAAAATCCAGAACTCAAATACTTCTTTATTCAGGTTTGGGGGAGTGGGGTTAGCACCTGAGGTATTCTTTATTTCTTTTCATGTTCTTCAATAGATGAAAAGATATACTACTTTATTATATTTGATGAAGATTATTTTTAAATGCATGTCCTTTATTCTATAAAAGAAACTCCATCAGAAAAACAAAAATGCCAGACCCATAGATGTTTTGTGTATTGTCTATGATATAAATATTGAATTTAGTATCTAATAGAATCTTATGTATTCTAGAAATCCAAAACTAGTTTTTAAAAACTTGCTTCCAGCCCTCATTTGTTGTGGAACAGGTTGAATTATGTAGATGTCTCACATATGAAGGGTGGCCAAAAATTAGCAATGACATGATGGCATATAGCAACAACAACATCCCATATGAAGGCTCAGACACCAGAAGGTGTGTCTTGGACAAGACACTGGTCTTTAGTGGAAAGCAGTTTCTGCAGAAGCTTTTCATTGTTCTACACAGAGTGAGATCTTCTCTGTCTAACAACTTGCAGTGTGTGATTGGGCAAGATGAAGTCGTGTTTGCTTAGAGAGTGAAATTAGAAACTCCCCAAAACCTCTTACTGTTTATATAAACCAACCTTGAATTCATTCTTTAACCTGTGGAAGTGGTAGATGACACCTGGCTTTCCAGTTTCTCATATTTTCTTCCCCAAGTGATAATAAGGAACTTCTGTCCAAGGTAATGTAGGATATACCAGTGAGGCAGCATAAATAAAATATCTGAGGATGCTCAAACTTGCTCAATATCTTATAACTGTAATGCATAGACATCTTACAAAATCTTTGAAACAATATTGTTTTCATAGCAAGCACGATCAAGGTTTAATCAAGATGCATTGTTCCATTTTGCATAGTAAAATACATTATCTTCTGTTGTGAGCAAAGAACTGTCTGGCGGTAGAGGGGAGAGTATCAAATGAAAACAGTTGCTCTGAAGATGCAAATGTTCTCACAAATGTTGACTAGTCCTTGTGTTGTGTTCAGTGATACACAGATCTGGAACATTTTGTTACTGGAAAAAAATCTTTGAGAACTAGACAGTTGGTATAGCTGAATACAGAACTAAAAGAAATCATGTTGATGTTGCTTTTTAAAATGTCTTTATTTGCCAGCCTAGGGAACACTGTCATTAAAAATTTCTTGGGTTTAATTTTGGAGGCATGATTGCTCCTATGGGATATCTGATTTTTTGTGTGCCTTAATGCCTTATATCGAGGCAAAAAGTGGAATAGAAATGCTTTTAAAAAACAGCAGTATTGTGACTGAATAGACACACTGCCAAGTTGTGTGGGCCAACTGACATGCAGCTTTGAAGTAGCTCAAATGGGGGCTGGGTGAATCCATAAAGAGCTTGGCATGTGGTACTGAAGTGACACTGTGGCTGCTTCACAAGAACTTTACATAAAAGTTACACTCTTTCTAAACTTCTTAACTCTTTCTAAACAGTAAAACAGATTAGACCTGCTTAAATTAGTAGGACTAACTCTCTAGTTTGCGTTGCCTTGCTGCCAACTAGAGATAGTTTCAAAAACTGTATTGAAGCATTGCAACTTAACTATGAGGTCATTGATAGCAAACAACAGAGAGTATGAGTCAGAAGGGAAGTAAGAGACATTTGCAACCTTGAAACAAATGGACAAGCAAATAAGATGGTTTAACATCGGAACAGCATGACCAGTGTTAGATGATCACCTGATGACACTTAAGCCTCACATTTTGTACTAACTGAAGCCTCCTGACAGTCTTTAAGGACAGCCCCACATAGAACCTATTTCAGTAGCTGTATGTGGTCTTTGTGTATAGCTGTAATTTGATATGAACCTATCCCTTTCTGATTTGATTCTTACACTTGCTTTGGAATTCTATATATCCATGAGCTAGTACATAAGATTCTGTCCACATTTCTTTTCTTTTCTTTTTCTTTTTAATGGAATTATGGTTTTAATAGAAGCTGAATAAGTCATGTTATTCTGCTAGTATGACCCCACCATCTACAGACAAATACCTTAAAATACCTTAAAAACAAAGTTCATGGATTCAGGAGTGAAATTTCAAACTGTTTTAAGAGAGATGTTAACATATGTGGTTCAATTGAGTTCCTTTTACATTATTGGGGAGTCTTCCTCATTTGTATGATTTTCAGCGAACCCATGGTGAGAACTCATTTGTTCAGCTGAATATTTTAAAAGTCAATTGATTATTAACCTGTGAATTATTGCAGTTATAGCTTTCCCTGGAAAGAAGTGGGTTTAAATATATCAGTGTCCTGTCATAAAGTGGCTGGATTTGGCTTCCTGTAGGATGAGTCATAATCAAAATCACTTAGTGAAATTGGAATCTGTATTGATTTTGGCTTGTTGTTCCCTTCTAGTTCAGATCCAAATGGGCTTCATGTTCACATTCGAGCACTGAATACGATGGATGGTCTTAAACTCATTACCACATTGCACTTGTTCTTAGGAGCAGAGGAAGAGTGGGCTGCCGCCAACCAATAACTGGTGCTTGCTCAACTTTAGCTGATTCAGTAGAAAATATGGAGGACTGTGCAATGCCAATGTATGGTTGCATTTTAACATGATGACATTTGGAAAAACTGGAAATAGGGTTTTTTTCTCTCTCCTGCCAGATTTAGAAAAGGTTCCTGTTTTCAAGTGTACATTCCATAGTTTTGAATGTCAAGGCTATGTTGAAAATCAGAACAACTGGAAACAGAAAAAGTGCAGTACGTGTAGGGCCCCTCCTAAAACTTTTCTCATTGTAGAATACATCATAGAGTGGATGGATGGTTCTTCACACTCTTTTATGTTGGGATGTGGAGGAAAAAAAGAGATTCTTGAGGATGTGTCTTTTACTGCAGGTTTTCTAGCCCAATGGTAAAAACAATGGCAAGGTTTAGAATTATTATGAGAAAGACATTAGAAAGCAGTGATCTCAGATCATTCTTTTTAGTACCATCTCATTGTTTGATTCTTCAAACATGGTCCCACTAAGTGTATTACTCTGCTTGGGTCGCTACAAAATGTCTATATTGTATATACACCTACCTCTGATTACTCTCAAATATTATACTGACAGAATTCTGGTGGCGCTGCCCCTTTAAGTTGCCTTGGTGGCACACTTCGTTGGTCCTTCATCTCCAAAGCAAAAGGAGCAAAATTAGATATCACTGGTGCAAAGTATGTGTGTATACTTGGCATCTTGTTTGGGATGAGACTGGGTTTAAAGACTAGGTATCCAATCTGCATGCAAAAAAAATCTTTCCATTGCAAGATGGTTGCTCCTAGCAGCTTCATTGATCTAGAATAAACATAGGGATCTGATACCTTAAAATGAGCTATTACAATACAAGAGCAGTTGAGGCCTAGCAGTGCTAAAATTTGGTGCCACTCAGAACAACAAACTAGGGAATGGAGATCTAATTTCTTTTAAGACCTAAGGACTAGGAATGTTAGAAAAATCTGCAATGGATTCAAATGAGTTTGGATTTCTGTTAATTCACCCTGTAGATACGAGTACCATAGTAGACTGGCTTTGTTTAAGTCATGTGGATTTACGGACTTTAAAAAAAAACTTTTTTGAGGGGAGATTTGTGCAAATATGTACCTGCAGAAGTGGAACAAAATTCTTGTATGTCCCTAGAAAAATCATTTGATCGGTGAATGGATGACAGAATGAAAGATGCTTGTCTTGGTGCTATATCTAGAAAGGTAGGATATGATATTGTAATAGCTGTTGTTTCTTTAAAAACACTTCTTCTCTCAAGGAATCCATATTTTCAACATGCAGTGTTCAAGGAATTTATAATTAAATTGCTTTGTTACTTGAGAATTTATATGACATGCTTGAACCTACACCCACTCAAACTAATAAAAAAGCATT